GGGAGTGTGAGGAGGCGAAAAGAGATCGTGACGAGGCTTCTATCGCTTTGCGGGATGCGTGGGAAGAACTTAAATTGTGCCGTGCGAAGCTGGACATTGTTTGGCCAACACACCGCGCTGACACGGGTAACTTGACACCGACGGAGATTCTTTCCACGTTTGGAAATTACAAAGCCATTTTCCGACACAATCGTCACAGGAAGACCGGTCGTGCCGAGGGCGCCTCCGTTTCCCATGAAGAGAATGAAAGGGACGACGGCGAAATCACCGTGCAATTATGTGATGGGTCGATGGAAGAGCAGGTCCGCGAGCTCCACGAGGCGAATGGTGCGTTGCTGGCGGAGCTGGAGCAGTTGCGCATCACGAACGAAATGCAAGCCGAGCGTCTACGGAAGATGGAGAGGCAGGTGCGGCGAGAGCGAGAGGAAGTTCAGGCCTCTGCGGAGGCGTTGGAACAACGGGAGGAGGCCACACAGCAGTTTTTGCAAACCCAACTTGATCGTGTGGCGTTTCTTGAGGCTCAAGTGCGCTCGTTGCGTGGCTATGATGTGTCACCGAACGTGTCCCTGCGTGAGGTTGGTCCTGGGGAAACGGTGTTTGAGCTTTTTCTTGGGCAGATCTTCTCCACAGAGACGCCGGAAGGCGTGGGACTGCGTGACACGTTTCCACCGATTTTTTGCTCCGTGGACTTCTTGCTGCATGAGACCGTTACGACGCCAATTGTGACTGGGCTTAACGGCTTTCTTGACACGACGGTCTCGTTTTGTGTTGCCATGGACGCACTGCTGCAGTACTACCTGCGGTCGCGTAGTCTGCTTGTCCAACTGCACCGCGTGCGCTCGCAGGACGAGATCCATAAAATTGTGTCTGCAAAAAGTGACACACACGAGCCTCTTTACGCGGAGCGTCTGTGCGCGACGCTGGCGGAAGGCTCCATTAGTTTAAGCGCTTTTGTGTTGGATGAAAAGTGTCGCCAAGCTCAGCGGCCCACAGTTCGGGGACATATTCCTTTGCGCACCACAAATGGTCACCACATTGCTTCGGTCGAGTTTACGGTGACGGTTCGAACTCCATTTAGCGACTCGTTCCGCGCGTTGGCCGCTGAGGCAAGTAGAGAGTGGGGCCCAAAGCTGACGGAAACGAACACACCAGCGGAAGTAAATATACCGCGGGGAGAAGGGAGGATGCAGTTGGTGCCGACAACACATCCTTCAGAGGCCTTTGGCTCGGTTTCCACGACCTCTTCCTCTTCAATGTCTCTATTGGACTCGAAGATACAGGACCGACCTTCCGGTTTTACGCTTGTTCCACGTGCCGCTGTAATGGCCAGCATTCCTTCCTCTTCTTCCTCATCCACCATCCGCTTGCTGATAGTGGATGTGCATAGACTGCATTTGCCACACAACTTGGCCCCTGTTCCTCGTCTTTCATGTTACTATGCATTGACTCCGCTTGGTCGGGATGTGTACCTCCCTGCTCCACCCACCCCACGATACGAATACGAATATTTACAGGAAGGCGGTCATGGAGGAACACTTTTTCCAGTTGTTTCTGTGCGGGAGCTACTGGCTGTAACACGTGAGCCCTTTATGTTGTTTTTTTTTGACGAGTCATCACCGGCAGCGCACAGTAGTGAAAGACAGGGTGAATGTCCGTACTGGGCAATGGCCAGAGCAGAGTGGCGACTAGCGCTCGAGCGACCAGAGGAATACGTCTCGCTGGAGTTGCCTTTGATGGATCCGCAGGGATGCCATGTTCAGGGGGCCTTTCTGCAAATTCGGTTACTTGCCACAAAAAATACGCAGGCCACCGAGGCGGGTTCAGCGGTGGCTCTGCAGACGGCCCGTGCTGTCAATACAGGTTCGCGAGAGCAATCGCGAGAATATGGGCACCCGGCCGGCGCGGTGAGTCTCCCACGGGTCTTTAGAAATGCGCATGCCACCCATGACGACAATGCTACCGGTGATTCTGCTGCTTTGGTCAATGACGTCCCTACAATTACATCAGGCGGTGGACGCACGTATGACAACACTTTGGAGTCTGTTGAGGTGGAGATGATCCGGCGGCAACTGGATGGCTAACGTGACGTGTGACAGTGAGAATGATGGTGGTGGTGTTGGGACGATCCAATGGCGGGAGTGGGATGTGTGTAGGGCGGGGCCGTGGATATTTCTTCAGTGGAAATGAGGAAGATGAGGGGAGCCTGACATTTTCTGCTCCCTTAAAAAAAGAAAAAAAAAAAAAATACCGTCCATACATAATTTTTGGAATGCCAGTGACATGCGTGGCCTTGATAGAGTGTGTGACATTATTATTATTACTATTATTTTTGAATTTATTTTGCGTGTGCTTTCCTCTTTACTTCCTGTTGGGTGTTTTAAAGTCTTTTGCACAGTGCCGCCTGACATGTGACCGCAGCGCTGAGTGATGATATTACATTTATTTATTTTTTCTTTTTGTTTTTGTTCATCTAAATGTGTTTTTGCATTTTTCAATGCGGTATTCGAAGAGTTTTAGTTTAAAAACAAAAACAAGGGAAGGGGTAAAGAAAAGCCGACGGCAACAAAAAAAAAAAAGAAAAAAGTCTTTTTTTTTGCCTGCTTTTTTTTTTTTTTTGGGGGGGGGGGGGGGGCTTTCTTCCTGGCCTTTTGCGCTGCAACCACGACGTGCATAGACGTGGCGGGCACACGACTCACAGACCCGCAGGTGGGCAGCATTCACATCTGCGGCGAATGCCAACAACACCGCCGACGAGGACATCAACCGACACGACTCATGACATCACACGTATTCAGGGCAAAGACAACACGGGGGAGACGATGGCGTTGATGGTTATAGACGATAGAAGACATCCATTGGTGTCTAGCCGCACCCCGCCGCAGTCCGTGGGATCCTCGTCACGGGAGAAGGCGGAGGGGGAGGAGAACGCGCGGTGCAAAGGACGGGCCATTCAGCGAAAGATTCTCCCACAGCCGTCCAAGCTTCCTACGCCCCTTCCGACGCCAGCCAAGGGGCCTTTTCCATTGCCATTGCCTCCTCGCACCGCCGCAACCAAGCCTGGGGCCTCATCCAGCAAAATTGCCGTGACGAGCACTTCTAAAAACAAGGTTCAACCGGCTTCTTCACGCCAAACCCAGGAACTGCCGCCTTCCATTTTTGATGATGCGCCTGTACAGGCCAGCCTGGAATACTTGACACGGCCACATCGCTCGTGGGACAGTGCTTTTAGAATTTGGGAACGGAGAGGCAGAAGACAAGAGTCAGAAAAGAACCGTCGTACGTGGAGCAACAGCGGTTTATCTAATTCCGTAGCGGGCTCTACGCGATTGTCGTGTGCTTCATCAAATAAGGCAGCGAGTTCATCAAGTATCAGTATCTGTAGTGCTCCTCCCACTGTTGGTCGTCTTCGCACTCAGATGTCATCTGGCAACTCCCCAGGGTGTGGAGTGCTTCGTCGGGGGCGCTTCGGTCTGTTGCCGAGTCTCCAGGCCGATCCAGAGGGTCTTGCAGTTGGCGGAAGTCGTCTTTCGCCGCCAGCACATTTTTCGACGATGTCTCGTTTTAAGCCATTGCCTCAGGGCGGTGCATTCTCCCCGGCAACGACGAACAAGTTTGGCATCTCTGACTCCGAGAGGCGGGGCGTGAGCACACCCCTGTTAGGCAAGGTACGAGAATTTACCTTTACGATGCAGTAGACGCATTCCGAGAAGGACGGGCGGGGAAGATGCAAGGGTGGAAAATAATAAAATGCCTCTGCTGGGTACTCCACTTGTGTGACCCCCTCACGGGTGCGGAGTGGGCGCGGATGGAAGAAAAAAAAGAAAAGGCTTAGTCTCATTATTATGGACATTTATTAGCCTTGTTGTATTGTTGGTCGTCTCATCTGTTGTTCTTTTTAAAGTTCTTCCCTCTCATCCACTCCCAATTAATTTTCGCAACCGTGTCTGTGCGCGAGGGATATGTTTATCACCATTCTTGTCTTAATTCCTGTCCGTAGGGTTTTTTTTTTTTGAGCCAACGCGCTGAACCCCGAAGGGTGGAAGAAGAGGAGAGCGCCTAGAGAGCACACGAGGACCCTCCGCGTCATGCTTGGCATCACGAACACATGTTTTTTTTTTCTTTGTTTTTTTGGTGTGTTTTTTTTTACTTTTTGTCTCTTTTTTTTCTTCTTATTTTAGCACACCTAGTGCGCTCATATATTCTGGATTTAAAAGGTGGGTGTATTCGACGCTGGCAGGGGCGTGTCGTGTCCCCTGCATACATACACACACACACAGACAGACAGACAGACAGACAGACAGACAGACAGAAGTGCTCGAATAAGAAAGAAGGAGGAGCAGACAAAGGGGAAAACAAACATTGTGAGTGTGGTGGTGTTTGTTACTTTACAAGGACATCTATCAATTTCTTTTTGCCTTTGTATTATACACATACACCTCCATCGAGCAGCGGGAAAGGCGATATTTTTCTAGTAATAATATTCTTGTTGCATGGTGGCATCGGGCCTGAGTGCGGCGTCAGCAGAGTTGCTGCAGCAATTTGGCATTGATCAGAAGGACTTTTCCAAGGCACGTGTCAGGTATGAGAAGGTGCAAGAGGAGCTGAGGGAGGAAGGTCTTGAAGCGAAGGGTGAAACGACGGATGCAGCTGCTAAAGCTGAGGAAACGCTTCAACGACTTACGGGTGCATGGAACGAGTATCTCTGCCTGACGCAGAAATACTTTATTAAGATTACTAGCACTGTTATTGACGATCTGATGAATAAGATACGGGAAAAGGCGTCTGCGGCTGAGCGTGCGGAGAAATTGAATGAACTCTGCGCCATTGGTGAGAAGTGGTATGTACGCAACGAGGCATATTTTGAATTTGAGGATCCAGAGAAGTTGGCATTGCTTGCTAAGGGGGCATTGGACTCCTCTAGCCGTGTGATGCGTCTGCTTGGCCTGCAACTTGTCCGTATTTGCGCTGCGAGTGTGAGGTTTACGCAGTGTCTTTTGAAGAATGTTGGTTGTGGACTCATTAGCCTATGTTTTGATCGTGAGATTGCCACGGAATTAGAGTACGCACTGAATGTGTGCACGCGTCTTATTGAGCTGCACGAGAGTAATCCCACGGCGTATCCAGACTTCCCTTATGGCTGGATTTGCCGCATCTCTTCCTTACTGGACCCGCAGGATCCGGTGCCGAATTTACAACCCAAACGGAAGAGTCAGGCGCTCCGTATCGCGATTAAATTGCTCCGTCGATTTCCAGCCATGTCAACAGCTGCCTCATTGCACACAATTTTACTTCGATATTGCATCCAAAAAGGGGCCGCCACGATGGACGAGATTAAGAATATATTACATGTTATTTTGGATTTGTTTGACTGTGCAGAGACACGGCAATACCTCCGTTACAACGATTTGGATGTCCTTTACGTACCGTTTTTGTATACCACGGATAAAAGCACGGAGGCGAATATAAACCTGATGAACGGGGCAAAAGATGTTCTTGCCATGGTGATGCGAACGTGGGTGGGGGTTTTATGGACATGTTCGGAAACAAAAGGACTCCGTGCTGTCATTGATGTGCTACACCTACCAGGGGATCTAGACCGTAAGATGGTGCTGCTCACACTGTTTAACAAAGTTCTTTGTCAACTGGCACCTCACCGGGGTTTAACGGCATTAAAGACTTGGCAAGGGGTGGAGAAGAACAAGCGAGAGACATTGAATTCAGACACAATTAGTTCAGAACTGACCTCAAGCTTCATGGAGTTCAGTTCCTCACGGATATCGGGCGAATATGCTAAGACCCAGACATTTTCTGAAGGCGGCATATTCATGGACCAAAGTGAGGTGCAAGACAATTTTGTTCCAACAACAAAGGCAATAGGATATCATGTTCTTGATCCACTTCTAGGGAGAGTGCTTTTGATGCTCTTTCACCATGGTCTTCCGCTTGCATTGGTGTCTATGATCGGAGATGGTGCCTCAAGTCGTCTTTTGGCATCCACCGCCTCATCCCTTTTGCAAGACATTTTTGTCCTGATGGATACCGTACTCCCGGTGCGTCCGGCTGGGCGGCTTCACACGGCTCTTAATGAGGCCGTTGGACGTCTGATACAACAAGGGGACTTATCTTTTAGGAGTGGACCCACCGCCAGTCTTTTTCAATACCATAGGATGATAAAGGATGTATCACTTGCCACAACGGTGGCTGGTACGAATGCAATTTCGGGCGGGAGGGCAATTATCCCGTCGGCTACAACGATTTCAGCCTACGGATTAGGAACCATGGGGGTTGACGATGCGGGATTTGAGGCGTTGCTGCGGCAAACGGGTGTGGATAGGGCCGATGGTTTTGTTGGATGGAACCAGGATTTGTTACTTTTGCTGGTTCATGGACCGTTGCGAAGTATGCCGCGATTTCAATGGGTATTGAAAGAAACCCGTTTTTTTCACAAGCTTATTGCTTTTTATCAACCGTCATTACAGACACAGTCGCGGACGTTTGTGTCGCTACGCACGGAGGAATGTACGCCGCAGCTTTGTAACTTTGGACTGGCGTTGTTGGATATGTTTCTTTCCACACGTGTGGGAACGGAGGTGTTGGATCAATTTGGTTTCACATCGGCCATTGTCAGAAATCTACAGGAGGTGGTTGACGGTACACCGCAGGTTTTGAACCGTGAGCGACTGGGCACCCGTGTGGGGCAGACGGTACTCCAAATGGTTGGTCGCTACTCCCTCTCAGCCAATGGATTGATGGCTATGAGGGAACACAATATGTTTGGGATCATAAACAATATGTTTGACGAGCTCTCCGGAGAGCGGGCGGCGGCACCGTCACCCAATGACACCTTGCAGGATGTATGTCAACTAATTTTACAGTCTTTGTACATTGGTGCTGTTCCCAACTACGGCGTATGTGAGGAAATTCGACATGCTATTCGCTCTGCTCTTTGCAATGATGTGAACTCCGTACGTCTTTATGCGGCGACACAACTACATAAAGCACTTTGGCGAGACCTCTCAACTTCTATGCGTTGGGGCATTGAAACCCTGGTTCAAGCTCTCCATGATGAATTCTACAGTGTTGTGGAAAGTGCCTTTAAACTTTTGCTTAGTATTTGCCTCTGTTCAGAGGAGGCCTTGGATTACCTGATATCCCTATCACCAGCCGTGCTCATGGAGAGTGAGGTCATTCGCCAACATTCTAAAGATCTTGACCTGAACAAGTTATTATACTGTATAGTGGGTAGAACGTCGGGACTTCGTTTTTTACAGTTCTACGGTTGGGTGGATGAGGAACTGCGTCGCTGGGAGGAGTCCGAGTCTGCAAATCACGTGCGACTTGTAGAGCGTATGCAGTCTGGCGAGGCGGTGGAGGCTTCCGTGGAGTTTATTCAGAGTATGGTTAGTCAACGACGGCAATTTCACGATCGTACAATTTCAGATCCTATTTATACGTTGTATCGACCCACTGTTTTATCTAGATCTATTCCAACATATAGTCCACCAAGTGAATCGGTGTCAGGGTTCTTCCCGAGTCATTTTGCCGCTTTTCTCTGCAAGTCGAACGAGGGATGCACCTTATTTAAGCATAGTGTTCTTTGGCAGCGGTCGGTGCAACGTATTCTTCAGCAACCACTTCCACCGGACATTGTGTATGATGGCAGCGATGCGAGAAATGGGGGAAGTGATGATGACATCGATGACGATGAGAGAGTTCTTAATGAGGAAGATCCATCATTTTGGGGGCAACTGGGGGCGAAAACGGAGATGGCAGAGACCACAAGGTCAGTTGAGGGGTGTGATTTGCGTTTATTACGTGCAGGATGCTTGCCTTGCTCCCGGGACGCGCAGTTACTATCGGCTGCCCGGGGCTACAAGACACCGGGGCGGTCGTATCTTCTTAAATCTGTGGGGGATGTTGCAGAGCTAAAGGATGCTATTTTGTGTGTTTGCCACGCTTCCTCCAGTGACACGGGGTTTGCTCTCATGCGCAGCGTTCCAGGTCTGCATAAACGTCTGAATGCTCTTATGGTGTTTGGGGCAACCGTCTCCGTGCGGAGTATATGCTTTGTGGGGGAGTGTATACAGGCACGTTCCAGGCGGTGTGCAGAGCAGCTTTCCGACATGTCACGCTATGTACTCCATGAGTGCAACGCCTACACAAGTGCGGATGGGGTACCGTATTCCGTTGCCTTTTCTCACATCAAGCCGTCTCGGTGGACTCCGATTGGGCGTCCCACAAATCAGTGGGGAGTCTCCTCCCTGTACTTTATCTACAGGCAAGAGTGCTCTGGCAAGGCGGACGAAAGTCCGTACTTCACGCTGGAAGGAGCGAGGAGCATAGAAGCACTTGGACAGTCAGCACGACGTGTATTTGACCAAGTGTGCACCCTTTCTAACCCGGTAAGCCGCGAGGGGGCAAAGAAAAAACTGTGCCAAGTGTTGAAACACCAGCCAAACATTTTTCTCGAGCCACACATGCGGAAACTGATCATTGATGCCACACAAATGTTTCGTATGCAACACGCGGAGCGGAAGTTTATTGCAGATCTTCTTGAAAACGCACCTCTCGCTAAACCAGTGCCATCTGCCCGTCGGTCGACGATTGTGGTTCCTTCCCTCACACGACTGAACTGAAGAGGGGAGCAGGAACGGTGAATTGTTTTGGGTGGCGGAAAGGAGAGAGAAGGGGAGGGGTCTGCTGGAAGACAAGTTCATTTTTTTTTTTTTCCAAGGTGGCGAAATTCAAAGAAAAAAAAAAGAAATTATGAAAAGACAACCACCAAACGAAGCTGCTGCTTGAACTGATAAAACACGGGTGTGGGTGGAAGGGCGGTGGTAGTTGGTAGTGGTGTGCGTTTTTGTTTGTGCTTGCCATGAATGGCCCTTATTTGCTGGTACCACCGCAGCTGCGTTAATGCTGCATTATTATTATTATTATTTTTTAGGTGCTTTTTGGCCTCTCTCTTTTTTTCTTTTTGCATTTCTCCATCATTATATGCATTCAAACATGTGTCACCTTCTCATTTGCCCAGAAAGAAATGACGAATGAGCCAGTGCGAGGAATGTCTGGCGGCATTGTGTCTTTGTTTATGTTTGATGTATGTGTGAGGATTCAATAGTAGTGGGGCATAGGGTTGGTGAAGCTCTCTTCTACACGCTGCCAAATTGCGCGTAATGGTTCATCTTTTCTACTATCTTTATTTTACTTTCTTTACCTGGCGTTGTTGCCTTTTGATGGCTGAAGCTGAAAGGATTTTTAGTTGTCCTTGTGCGTTGAGCGGCACCTTTTCTCCTTATGCTATGCTTGTTGCGTCTTTTTTTTCCTTTTTGTTTTTAATGGCAATATTCTTTTTTTTTTTTTTGTTGCTTTCTTATTGTTTTTTTTTTCCGTTCTTTCTTGGGCGCACGGGAGGAGTGGCAAGGGAGTGCAGCAGGGTATAGAAGCAGTTGTTTGGCAAATGACGGATAATTCCAGTGCGGTTGCTGCCGGGGCTGTGGGCGGCACGGTCTGTGCTGGGAGGAGCAAGTCGTTGTTTCTGAAGGATGACGAGCGATTTCTCTTTGACTTTGGCGGGGAATCGGCGGTGGATGGTGCGACAATGAAGGGGAGAGATTCCACCAGCCCCGCGTCATGCGCTTTTGCCTGCCCCCACGAGGGAGAGGGCGATGATGCCGACAGGCAGGTTCTCAGGGATGACGTGGATGCTGAGCTTGGCGTGCGAGGCAAAGTGGCGGTGGCCTCGCTGAGCGCGGCGGAGGTGCGTCGATGTTTTCACGCCGCCCTGAACGCAGGCAGTGATGTTTTTTTGAATATGCCACTAAACGAGGCGGTTGAAAAGTTCCAGTTTGGACTGCAGCGGTACAGCGAGGCGTTGTCTCGTCATACACGGCAGGAGAAGCAGCGCAGGGCAGTACCAAGAAAACGGACCCGTATCAGCAGTGACGATGATGATATTAATAATAATAATAATAATAATAATAATAATAATAATAATAATAATAATAATAATAATAACACGAGTAGTCCGAAGAACGCTGGCGGCAGTTTTGAGGGCAAAAGGCGTACACACAAGTGATTCTCGAATAAAAGATACATGTTATTATCTAAAAACCGAATATATATATATATATGCCTATGGATGGCGAGTTATTTTATGATGGGAGATGCGCGTTTCTGCTGCGAAGGGGGAATCTGAAGTACGAATATTCCCACGGATCTTATTTCTCGACAAAGTATTGGAAACAAATGCCATTGTGCAATTGGGGCCAAAAAAATTCTTTTTTTTTGTCGTGCGTGTTTCCTACGGCATTTATGTTTTTTTTTTTTTTTCTTTGGGGGGGGGGGGACTTCTTCTTTTATTAATGCGAATTTTTTGCGTGGTTTCTTTTTAGAGCCGTTAGGGAGTGCGGGGGAGAAAGGAAGAGAGGAACTCTCTGCACTTTGCGTCGGGCGCTGGGGGTAGGGGAAATACATACGAAGAAGTACCGTGCGGGTTGTCTGTGCCGGAATACATTAACGTCTGCGGATAAAGAAGGAGGAAGAAGACGAGGAGCAATCAACTGGCGGAGGATACACGTATATTTGTCAAATTTAACGGCTTGCGTTGTGAATAGATAGAGGAGAGGAGGACAGAGAAATTTAAATAATATTTTGTAGTGACCATGGGGATTAAAGGACTGTGGTCGGAGGTGCGGCCCGTGTGTCGTCAATCACACCTTTCGAACTTTCGTGGTCAGCGCGTGGCTGTGGACATGTACGTGTGGCTGCACCGGAGTATTTTGGGTAGCGTTCAATTGGGCACGAGGGCTGACGCAGAGGCGTTTATTGAGTGTGCTGAGATGACATCCGAGGCCGTTGATGCAGGCAGTTCTGTTCTTCTTAGCAACAAATTCTTACAGTTTGTGATGGGTCGTGTGGACCTCATGTTAAGGTGTGGCGTCCACCCTGTGCTAGTCTTTGATGGGGCCCCGATTCCCATGAAGCAGGGCACAGAAGCGGAGCGACAGATGCTCCGTGCGGCACGCCTAGCAGAGGCGTTACAAGTGCTAAAACAGGGAGGTCCATCGAATCCCCGCGCCAGGCAGGAGGCAGCACAGCTGCTGGAGAAGGGTATGGACATCACCACGGAGCTGGCACATGCTGTGATTCAGGTGCTAAAAGAACGACGACTGGAGTGCATTGTTGCCCCATATGAGGCGGATGCTCAATTGGCGTATTTGTGCAAGGAGGGTTATGTGCAGGCGGTTGTATCGGAGGACAGTGACCTCATTGCGTACCACTGCCCGTGCCTCATTGCCAAACTGGATGCTCATGGTGGCTGCGAGGTGCTCTTTGCACAGGACTTACCGCGGTGTCCGAGCTTTTACGGGTTGTCATATGAGTCGTTTTTGGTTGGCTGTATTCTTAGCGGATGTGACTACCTTCCGAGTCTGCGGCACATTGGGGTGAAGAAGGCATTCCGTCTGGTTGCCCAGGCCACATCGGTTCCAAGTATCATGCGGTCCTTGGAGGTTAAATTTGGGTTTTCCAAAGAGGAATTAGATGCATACGAGGCAAAGTTGCAACAGGCCTTTTACTGCTTTGCACATCATTTTGTATTTGATCCTGTTCGCAAGGAAGTCATGCACCTGACCCCGCTTCCACGAGGGATTCCGCTCAAGACGAACCTTCTTGGCGAGGCGCTACGAAAAGATATCGCGGAAAAGGTCTGCGCGGAGTGCCTGTACGACCCCGTCACGAAGGCGTTGTACCGGGGCAGCTACTTGTACTGTGTACAGGAGTACTGGAAGCACACGAGAGGGGGACAGACTCCGCTGAATTCTTACAGTGGGTTTAGAGATATGCAGTCACCGCGGGTGACGATTCTTTTGAGTTCGAGTGGCACCGACACAACAGGGCGGCGTGCCTCTCCCACCACGACATTCTTTTCATCACCGCTGCAAAAGGTCAGTGAGGCCAAGGGGTTCTGCGAAAAAGCGACTCGCAACGTGGCCTTGGTACGCTCCAAGTACTTTACACAAGGACGCTGGAAGGTGGAGGATTGGGAGAGCGAAGATAGTGAGACGACGGCAACAACAACAACAACCACACAAACAACGCCTATAACAACCACAGTTGAAAGTGCCGCTAGTACTACGACGACAGCCACCACCGCCGCCGCTGGCTGTGTGGAGGAGAGGGGCGAGGGAGCCTCGTGGTGTTTGTCGTCTCTTCGGTTTGTGGTGAAAGATGATCCCATGCGGGGATCTTCGCCAACTGCCTCCGTATCCTCTACAAATCAGACGCAGGATGACGGGTTTGCGACACAAGAGCAAGGCAGTTTTGTGCAAGCCAAAGCACCTTGCTTCTCATCACCTCCTGTCTTACCACCCCTCACGACGGTGCCCACACGGGAGGGAACAAAGACACTGGATGCCAACGAGAGTCAGCAGCAACATGAGACGAGTGGATGTCCTTTTGGCTACGTCCAATGTGGACGACGGCATTCCATTTTTGAACTGTGCTTTCAGGGAAGGAATTGGTCAAAGGACTCCAATCCTGTTGCTTACGAAGGGAGGGCGAACCAAGTGGTGGACGAGACCCAGAATATTGGTGCTGGTAGTAGCAGTGACACCAACTGCCTTGGTGTATCGTCTCATTCTTCCTTGCGGACAGGGGCCGGTGAAAAGCGTCAACGAGAATCGGCTCTGCCACCTTCATTTCGACCCGTTTTTAGACCTCCGGCCTCTACCAGCGGGAGATCGACGGTTGCTTCATCACATGCGGATAAAATGCCTCCTGCTGCTAAGAGAAGGGTGCTGTCTTCCACGGAACAGGCCAAGCAACTGATGAGGCGATTTACCCCTGGGAGCTCCGCCGCCTCCACGGTGGATTCCGAGGCGGATAATTCCAGCCATATGAACGGAGGGGCGGCTGAGCTTTTTAAAAAACTGACGTTTGCGCGACAGTGATGCAGTCACATGAAAAAAAAACACTTTTTAAATTTATTTTTATTCATAGATGCGGTGGGAATGTATTTTGTATTTTTGCTTTTGTGTTTTTCCTTTTTTTTTTTTTGAGTTGACCTCCACTTCCTTTTGTTTGTTGGACATCTTTTAAAGCTAGAGGCGAAAATTCCAATGATTATTATTATCGTTATTTATTTATTATATAACGCACAGGCGGGAGGATGAATTGTGGTCCTTGTGTGTGATTTTGTCCCACACGTTGAGGTTGCCTCCTTTTAGATACAGAGGAATCTTATCCCCCTCCCCTCGTGTATGTGTGTATGTATGTGTGCCTTTATGTACACATTGGTTCATGTAATTGCGTTTTTCATTTCGTTTTTTTTTTTTTTTTTTTTTTTTTTGGAATGAAGCGTCTTGAGCCTATCAATGAGGTAAGATAGATGAATACATGATGTCACGTGTGCAGTTTGCAGAGCCTTTTTGTTTGACTTTTTTTTTCCCTTTTTTTTTCCCTTTTTAGTTTTGTCTGTTGCGCAGAGAACCTTTTGGCCAGGAGGTTTTTTTTTTTTGCCGCGGTGGAATGGGATCCAAAGGTGGACTGGATGAAGTGCCAAGACAGTTGCGCCAGCTGCTACGCCGTATTCCTGTTGGATACTCCTCCGTGTATCTGAACGAGCTGCAGCCAAGTAGCCAACATCTTTTTCTTGCTGCTTGCATGACAAAGGCCCGCCAGAAGTTAAATGGGAGTGCGGAGAATATGTTAGGCATCTCTGTTTCTCGACAGAATTTCAGTTTTAATCCATCTGTCCGAGCGTCACGTTTGAACGGAGTGGAGGCCAAACAACAAGGGGGAAATTCCTCTCCAAGTACGTCAGTGCCTATGCTACAACGCATGGTATCCGAATTACGGCTACAGAAGGGGTCGAGCGGGAGGTTAGAGGCGTACCGGACTTCCCATCCCACACTACTGACGAATCCGCACCTTTTTTTATTAAGTGTTCCGCGTTGGATGTTCGACGACGAGGGAAGAGAAAACGAGGGGCAGCGCACCGTGGAGTCCGTTCTGCAACGTCATCTTGTGAAGGTAAACAAGACTTTATATTGGCGAGAAGGGGAGCCATTGCATGGAGATAAGGATGCGGCGACGGACACACCCGATGTCATGTTGGAGACTATATGGGGTTGCACCACTTTGCAGTTGTGTCAGGCGGCGAAGGCTGCCGCGTCGCGTGGGTGCCGTTTGTTTCTCTTAAGTTATCCCCGGCAGCGTATGCTATCAAATGAGGGATTGCTGGTACGGGAGTTGGGCGGCTGGTGCCCCTCTGCGTTCTGCAACTTTAAATTGGATGTACTTTCTGTGGATCTAGAAGATGCCTCGAGGCGCTCTTCTTCCCTGTCACTTTTAGAGGAGGCACAACGCGGGTTTGGCGCTAACATTGGCGTGGAGAAGGCAGACATGCAGGGTAGTTTTGGCAGCGACTCAACGAAGTATGGTCTTGAGAACATGGCACAGCTGGAGTATAAGTTTCCTTTGGCTGTTGCGGAGGCGGTTGTGGATGCGAAGCGGGATGCTCCTGTTCCATGGGCGCAGGTATGTGATGACCCTCTCACCGCGTCTTTGTTTGAGGCGCTCTACGATCGACGGCATTTTTGCGTGACAGATGCGGTGCTTTACGCATCCCGACGTGTGGTACTGCCGTTCCTCCTCGGCCTTTCCCCATCATCGTCATCGTCATCGAATACACTTAACGGAACAGGAGGAGGGGACGGTGCGTCTTCAGCGGGGTTGATGCGTTGGTCTGAGATTCATGCGGTGCTGCGGTGGCGTCTGTTTGAGTCGGCCTTTGGCTCTCTGTCGCAGTTGGTCCGCACCGAGGACGTGGCTGCGGTGGGCGGTGGCCTTGATCCATTTATTCTCCCTCTCCACGAGACATTTTTAACCCGAATATTAATTCCCCGAATGTCTGAGTATTACGACGCCACCTGCAAGGGTGCGGAGGCATCAGCGCGGCAGAATGCGGTGACACCAGGAGACGCACGTGTCCACAACAAATCGTCCACACCTGCCACTGTCACTGTGGACATCCTTGAATGCTTCAACAGCCTGGCGAGCAGACGGAGGCACGGGGGCAGCGGAACTAGCGTCGCTGACCATAACGGCAATGAAGTTTGCGATGCCAACGGTGATGGTGCCGTAAAAAAGAAAAAGAAGAAGGAGCGAAAGCCGAAGAAAATGACCGATGAACACAGTTCTTTTGATGTCGGTGATGTCCACTTTACTGTTGCGGACCTGCCAGGCTTAGTGAAGTATCTTTTGTACTTCAGCCAGCAGTTTGAGGTTCATGGCGGCGGCACAACTCTGAAGTTCACCCCACATAGGGGTTAAGTTTTTAATGGAGGGCCATGTTTATCGATTTTTATAGCGATGGAAAGAGGCGAATTGGGTTTTTGTGTGTTTGTGTGTCTATGTGCCCTTGTGGTTGGTATGACGATGACGACGATAACGGTGCCAACACAAACCAAAAAAAGAAGAAGAAATGTCTGAGCTGCTTTATTTTTTATATTATTTTTATTTTTCTCTCCTTTCCCTTCTGCCTTTTCTTTTTTTTTTTTTCTCTCTATTAGTTTGATTCACGAGCAGCAAAAAAAAAAAAAGAAAGAGGTGGTGTGGAGGTGGGGGAAGGGAAATTGGTGTGTGGTAAGGAACCGTTGATACATATTAGCCAGAAAGGTGGGTGGTGTGGATGTTATTTCTGCTGGGATAGGAGGGCCTGAGTACGCATAGACACAACAACAAACAACAAAAGGAGACATGTACACGGAGAGAGAGAGGGCAAGAGTATCAGCGAATGACACGCCGCTTACAGGTGCATTATTTAACTCCTCATTCACCTCAAGCGTGACGGAGTTCTCTAACTTCTCTATGGGGAAATCTTCCATGGGCTTCCACAGCACATGCCCTCTGAGGGATAACTGGAGTTTCTGCAGCGATGGCAAATCCATCCGATGGAAGGAAAACCCTGACAATGAACTCCCAGAGTCGTTACCGGAAAGGCGTGGTTTAATTTGGTTGCGACGACGACGGCGGCTTTCAGAAATGCGGCGAACACCTGTTCCGTCATCCACGCTGGCGTCGAAGCCATCGACGTGCTTCTCTCCGTTTGCAGGTCTCAAACCACATGGGAACCGTCATGACTTGCGAGGGTCGTCATCATCGTCGTTTTATTTTTTGGTGGAACGTTTGATTGCCTTTACGCTCTGCTTGCTGGTAGTGTTTTTCTTTATCCTTGTCCTTTTGTATTAACAACGTGACGTTTTTTTTTCCTTTTATTTCTTTCTGTTTTATATTTGTTCCTTTTGTTTATGCATGCACGGGGGTTGTTGGCAGCTAGGAGGAGGGGGAGGAGGAGGAAGAGTGCATGTATGCGACCTTGCATGCCTGCTAGCGCTCTAAACCAATTTTTTTTTTTTTTAAAGGTTCATTCTCCTTCTTCTCCTCTTATTTCTTTCGAATATAAAAATAAATAAATGTTTTTTATCTGCTTTTTTAATTGATGTCTTTTATTTATAGGAGCTTTTGAGAAGAATGATCGCGGGAGAGCTGGCTAACTTAATTAATGTATGTGTACATCCTGATAAATGAATGCATTCTTTATGATACCTTCTACCGTATGAATCCTTTGGGAAGAACGCGACTTTGTAGGGGCAGGGAGCCGATAGAGGCCGGATAATATTTGCTTTTATTTTTTACAGACACACAGCCAGGTAAGTTTAAGGAAATGACTTTGGTTCCCTACACACCCTTCGAGTGGTGTGATATTGGCGCCCGTCTCTGGGACATGGTGTGCCAATGTGGCGAGACCCAGGTGCAGATGACGTTCATTAATGGTAACCAGCCGTCGGACGGGACGTTAACTGTGGCCGCATCACCCACAGGCTTATGCTTGCTCCATGGACCCATCTCTAAAGCATGGCAGGGTTCTACTCTTATTGGACATATTGCGAATCTCCGCGCGCCTCAGATCCCTAATTTTGAGACACAAGTGCTCCTGCCCGCTATGGGAGGCATCCCGGGAGTTGGGGCACCAACAAGGGCTCATCACTGCTGAAAGGGAGCGCCTGAATATCGATTACGCAAACGCCGTCGCGGACGTGCAGAATCGGAATGCTCAGCTTAACTCGCAGGTTGAGAAGGCGCATCAAAACCTATCGGTAAGGGAATCCAATATCGCCGGGGCCGGCAAAC